AAATAACTTTTTTTTTCACAATATACCTTCCCCTTATGTGTTGGGAGCCCTAGGGGCAACTGTTCCATCAGAACAACAACAAAGGGGAAATAAACTTTGCACCACTTCTGCAGCTGATAGAGAAGGAAACTGAAAAGGTTCCTTCTGCTTTAGGAGGAGAACAGACAGATTTCTTTCTACATTAGATATCTCACAGACAAAACGACCCTCCAGAAGACCACAACCAAATTTATAGATACTACTTATTTGACAGGTTAACCACTTCTGTTCTGACCCACTATAATGATTAGGAAGAGACATCTTTTCAGGAGATAATCATGAAATCAGCTCCTACACAGAAAAGGTGAGAATAACAGTACAAAACAGACGAGAAGTGCAGAAAACAGGAGAGGATGGAAGATAAAACAAATGGAGATTTCTTTCCATTCTGTTAAAGGAAAAGACTCTCATACAAAACATCTTTAAAAATAAAAACAAACAGAAAAACCAAAAAAGTCACTGCTGGAAATTAATGAACCTAATATGAGCAAAAGGGAAAACAGCACTAAACAATAGGAACTTTTTTAGACTATGGTGAAAGTGTTTTCTTTCCACGTGTATTTTGTTCCCCAGATAATCAGACTCTTAAATATATCCCTAGAAAATAAGTTCCTCCTACAAAGTGTCTTCTTCATAACTGCCATTCAGAACACCAACTGCCTATCATGACACAGCAACCAAGAAACATGAGGCTTGTGTTAGGGACAGTCAACTTGTGATTTCCTGCTAGACTTTCTCAATTCAGAGGATGATGAAATGGCCTAGTGTTGCAATGCATTTATGACTTTAGGCAAAAACACAGGGCATCCAAGACAGAAGTGGCAAAGAGAATAGTGCCCAGCAGGAAGTTGTTCCTACAAAGGAAATTGCAGTTTCTAAGATGAAGAGGAAGTCGAGAGGGAGAATTAAGTGTCTTAAGAACTTGAGAAAATATTGAAGAAACTACTTGTGGTCTCAAATAGAGTTAAAATATTAAGTAGTATATTCAGCTTATCATTAATTATAAATCTGAAACTTTGCCAATGTAGTTTGGGGTAAAGCTTGCCCACAAAAGGCAAATCATATCCATTAACTGTCTTTCTGTGAGGAGCTGCCACTCTCCTTCTTTATTCCCTGCAGAAAGCTTTTCTGGAAAAATATCTGATGTTAATGTCAACTGAAAGGGACAGAGGAAGAACACTCTCACTCATCTGCTCCTACACACTCTAAGAATCTTGGGCACGTTTCTCTTCATTTCATGATGTCCTGCAATGTTCTCTTCATAAACAAACCTGTCCACCAAGAAGTTTTTACTCTCTATACAACAAAGGGCTAACTTCTCCTAAAGTTTATTTCCACTTGCCCATGAAATGTATCCTAGTCACAGAAAACACAAAATAGTCAGTTCTTTAGCATTATATGAAATAATCGAAGCTATCATTTTTAGTTTAATACAACTTTCATAATAGGCCTAAGAAACCTCTGGTAGAAGTTGTTTCCATCCCCTTCATCTGTAGACATTAGAAACTCAATAGGAACTTCATATCCCACCTACTTATCTCTCTTTTTAATTTTTTTATCATGTCCAGAATTCCTTTCCTGATGCTTATAAACATTCACAGAACAGACCTTTTTCACCATTAAACAGAAACTGAGTGTTGCATATATGTTTTTAGGTAATAATAGGCTTTACAAATACTTAATAGTGGTATTAACAAGAAGGAGACTATTAACAATTTTTCATGAAAGATCACATGTGACTTTCTTTTCTATGTATAGAAAGTAAGTGTGAACTATTCGCCACCATGCGCCTTTTCTCTTTTTATATCAAGACCCACAGCACACTCACTTTCACAAGACAATATGAGGCCCTGAGGATTTACTTTTTATTCTAATTATTGAAATCTTGTTTTAGTATTCACTATTTTACTATAAACAATCTGCACTCATGAGTGGGATCTCCCTAGCTAAACCATCTTTTTGACTTCTCAGATCACCCATTGATTCCCATCATCCCACAATTTCTTTTTTTTTTTCGCTTTTTCTCCCCAATCTCCCCAGTACATAGTTGTATATTTTTCTTTTTAGTTGAGGGTCTTTCTAGATGTGGCATGTGGAATGCTGCCTCAGCATGGCCTGATGAGCGGTGGCATGTCCGCGCCTGGGATCCGAACTCGCAAAACCCTGGGCTGCTAAAGCAGAGCGAGGGAACTTAACCACTCAGCCACGGGGCCAGCCCCTATTCCACAATTTCTAATGTGGCTTTTGAATCACTGTGATCTTGTGATCTCCATATTCCTTCCTTCCTTGTTTTTCTTCAACTGCCTTTTTTTCTCCAACTAGTATTTCACAATTCCTTCCTTACCTTCATTCATTTAACAAATACTTGCTGAATACTAAGTACTGTGCTAGAGGAGGCTGCTACAACATTGAGTAAGACTCAGGTTAGTTATGGACGGGGCAGGGAATAATCTGTTACAACACAGTATACTAAACACTATGAAAGGACTAAGGACTATGTGCTACAGGGCACCTAAGAAGGACACAAAGCCAGACCCATGATGGGAAGTCAAAGAGGGCCACCAAAGGGAGGGACAGGAGGCTTTTGGTGGTGAAGACGAAATTGTGAATACTCTAGGACACACCAGTGGGCCAGTGGTAGAATTTCTTGCCAGCTATTTAACTTCTATATATTCTCATATTCCCATTTTCTCGTATGTGTGAGTTTATGTAACAGTGTACACTACCTGTACCCTTCAACTGCTGTTCATGAACTTTGCATTAGTTCTCTAATGCTGTGTAACAATACACCACAAACTCAGTGGCTTATGGCCACACTCATTTATTAGCTCTTAGTTTTGTAGGCCAGAAATCTTGCACACTTTAACTGAGTCCTCTGCTCAGGGTATCACAAAGCTGAAATCAAGGTGCTGGCTGGGCTTAGGTCTCCTCTAGAGGCTCTGGAGAAAAATGCAAGTCTAAGCTCACTCTTCTTGTTGGCAGAATTCAGCTCCTTGTGGTTTTATGATTGAGGTCTCCATGTCCTTGCGTGCTGTCGGCTGGGATCCACTCTGAGCTCCCAGATGTCACCACATTCCTTGCCCTGTGGCTCCTTTCAACTTTAAACCAGCAATGGTACATAAATCCCTCTTCTGCTTCAAATCTCTGACTTCCTCTGTCTCTGATCTCTAGACTCAGATTTATAGGGCTCAAGGGATCAGGTCAAGCCCAGTGAGGATAAACTCTCTTCTTAAAGTCCACTGTGCCACATAACAAACCTAATCATAGCAGTAAACTCCATCCTAGTCACAGACCCAGGGATTATGCAGGGTACAGCAGGGAGTGGTGATGTTGGGGGGTCATTTTAGAATTCTACCAACCACAATTTATACAGAAAACACAAAACTTGGCATTAAAGTACTTAGCATGAAGGAAGCATTTTATGGCACTGATTAGAAACAGGGCACTTAGGTTCTCTCTATTCAAGGATTTTACTTTTCAATCCTGACAGTACAATAACCAAAAAATTATAGACAACTCTCACATTAGGCTGCCAGCCCTTTTATCCTTAATCTGCTCATCTTTACAAATGCCTAAGAGAGATTTATATTTGAATATCTCACTCAACCTCACATGATAAAGCTGAACTAATAACCTTCCCCTTCAGAGTTACTCCTTTCTCAGATTTCCATTATACCACCAGGCAGCCAGTACTCCAGGATCTCAGCCTTAGCATGATTATTTTATTTATCTTTTACCCTATGTTCTCTTTGACATCAAACTGAACTGAAATCAATTCATCAATAAATCTTCACAACTAATCTTCCTCTCCATTCTCAAACATACTTTATGTCTAGAACAGGATCATTAGAAACACTGGTCTCCTGACCTGACCTTCTTGCCACTTTCTCCTCTTTCACGTGCACACTGGTCACATCCTACACATGCCTAGCAATAAAATCCCCACCACCACACTCAAGTATTTTCCACTCAGGAGCCACAGCCACCCCTTATTCCAGCCATGGATATCAGAACTCTTCATGCCAGCACTCAAGGCCAACATTCAGCTGTTTCCTGGGCCCCAAACTCATACTTCAAACCCCATCATCCAATTCCACACCACCGTCAGCCTCTTAGACCTCACCTTTCTAGTCCTAGCCTAAGGCCTCTGCTTAGCCGCTCTCTCAGTCAGATGCACCTGAGCCTTGAGGGGTCAGCCAATGAGTAATTAGGGTCAGTAAGTGGAGCCTGCCATTGAGTAATTAAACAACTGAGCAGACCAAACCAACCAGTGGAGTTAGTCCCTCATCCAGGAATAGGTTCCACACCTTACATACAAGTTTTATTTTCCATACTTTGAAGTTGTAAGATCACTAACACTGCTTGGTGAATGTTAACTAGACCTATTGTGGTGATCATTTCACAATATACACAAATATCAAATCATTATGTTGTACACTTAAAACTAATATAATGTTATATGTCAATTATACCTCAATAAAAAAAGAAAGGAAAAAAAACAAACAGAAAAACCAAAACATTGCTTGGAACAATAGCCAGGGTTCTTCAGATAGCTTTTGGCCCAGATTAGGCCAACAGGACGGCAATGGATCTTCAAGTGAACTTCAACTGAGCGTTGCCAAGAGGCTCAAGCCTGATCAAGTCTGGGTCTGGGTCAAGGATGCAGGAGGCAGCAAAAGGAACACCCAGCTCACAGTATCCTTGGTTTGATAGCCAAGAGGGCAGAAGCCATGCAAGAGTGTGGAAGAGGCTAGGGTCAGTTTCAAGTCTACACAGGATTAAATGCGATCACTTACTGTTCTAGGCAAAATGCACAATATACTCTCATTATGAACCAAATGTTTTATTTCATAATTAACTGAATAATACTTTTATAGGAGTAATAATTGAGCACAGAGAGCTCTTCTGCATGTTTTCCTTTGAAACAATGATTCAAGTATATTTAGAACACAGATTCCTACCTTCGAATGAATGCAGTAGATTCTGTAAAGGCACATCAGACACATTCCTTTATGTCTCCAAAAGAGCTTGCAAGAACTTTGCCGGAAGAGGGTGATTTTCTTTTATCTACTGAAAGAGAGAGAAAAAGAAAGAGACAGAGAGAGAGAGAGAGAGAAAGAGAGAGAGAATAGAAAACCACCTAGACAGCACGTAGTCAGTAGGCCACCAAACTCTCCTGACTAAATGGAGCTCTGTGGCCCCAACACGGAACTGCATAGAGCATGTTTCTGTTCTTCTGAATAGCAAAATGAGAATAAGTGTTTTCTTAAAGTATAATTTCAATAACATGAGTAACTGTCTATTAGGCTTCCAAACGTAAGCATGGAAAGTAGCCATCCAACAAGCTTCCTTCTTGAGAAATCACTGCCTGAGGCTGGGACAGGGGACAAGGAAAGAAGGGAAACCAAGAAATTAAAGAGTTTGAAATAGTCTTCTGCCTAAATAAATTTTAAAAACAGCCGTAATTTCTATGCATTTTAATTCCTTCAGAGATACTTTTGCTTCCTGAATTAGCCTATGAGACTCAGCTTACTGTAACATGACCCTGAAAAACTCACTGCTCTATCAGCTCACTAGGTAGAGAAGAGGACACGTGGGTGGACCACTTCAAGATGGGACAGGATTTGGTAAGTACAGATTTGATCTTTATGAGGTGATCCCAACTACAAAAAAAGAACACGAGTAATGATGGGTGGAAAGGGCCTGAATTCTCCCTGTTACATTTTATTTCTCAGGCTGTGTAGATTCATGAGCGTTCATTATTTTTCCTCTTTACATTTTTGTGTTCCTAATTTATTTCATGTTGAAAAAATAAAGAGGAAAACACAACATATACTCTAGAAATAGTAGAAATCTGATATGGTCGACATGTAGAGAAGTGCAGTCAAAGAGCATGATGGGAGAAAGGGCAGTCCAGGAGCACATGTTGTGTCCCTGATGAATGAGGGTCCCTTTATTCCTCACATTCATCACTAAGGGCCAGCTCTCTCAGACCACAGTGAGACAATTAAATAAAATCTGGCCTCAGGCTAGTGTTCCTGCCCTTGCCTGTGCCCACAGGCCCTGAGTCCTAACCTCCCCAATAATGTGCTATCTCCAAGGCAACTCTCCTATCAACTTTCCTGCTCCTCAGCATGGCTCGTCATCTCAGCAACTCACAAACCACAGAATCATCTGTAAAGCTTATTAAAACAAGGATGGCTGGGCCCCACTCCCAGGTTTTGATTCTGAGGTCTGTGGTAGGCCGAAGAATCTGCGTTTCTAACAAGTTCCCAGGTGGTGCTCCTGTTGCTGGTTGAAGGACTACCTTGGGAGAACTACTACTCTATGTAGCACTCACATCTGAATATTTGGCTTTGATTTCTATATGCCTAACATAGCTTTATCCAGCCCAAGCTTGTAATCTCTTCTGGGACGGTGGACTTCCTAACTGAACACAAGGGTTTGCCATCCCCACCTAGATCCTTCCTGGGAGCCATAGTATGTCACAGATCCACAAACCAGGATCAATGTACACTCATCTTGTCTCCTACTTACTAATGCTAAGACAGATGGAAGGTACTGAGTAAACACTAAACTGAATCATTAATGAAATGATTTTTTGTCATGACAAATTCATATAGTATTCTACCATTCACAAAGCACTTTCATCATTATGTTGCCCCACTTGAACTTGATGACAAGCTATAATAGTAGATATTACTATCCCCACTTGGGGGGAAGTCAGAGAAGTTATGAACCTACTTGACGTCACAGCACTACTACTTTAGATATCTCCTTTTATGTAACTATGGTCATTTAATAGATTTATCAGTTGTACATTTTTTTTTTACAGTTTCATCAGCATCACTCATCACTTATTTTCAATATTAAAAAGCACAACAGCATTTAAGCGAGGTGTGAAACATGTGAATGCTCACCATAAACACTAAATAAATATTGGTTGAGTCAGAGTCTTATGCTACCATAAATGCAAATAGCACCAAAGCAATGTTTGTGATCTGGCAATCCCAAGAACAAGGCTGACAGACACAAAATGCCTTAAAGCACAGGACACAGACTGGTAACCAGTGGACAAGTTCTTATTTTTGTTTTTTGCCCTATAGAGTTTTTCACTTTTGGTTTTTATTTTTCATTTGAACTAGGTGCTTACAAGTAGAAATTGGGAGATTTCACATACAGATCTGGATTGATAGCTTTTCTTGAAATTGAGAGGATCTGGCAATGCTGGAATCACATACTTACTTACAAGGTAACAGTTGGCTGGATCTTACTAACAGCTCTTGTGCTCAGCCAGGGCAGCCTTTCCAGTCAGGCAGGGCCCTCTCAGGCCTATTGGTGTGCACCACCCACCCGGGTCCACAGGCCTCCTGCCCTGGAGTTTGTTCTTATACAGTTAAAATGGATCAATAACAAATAAAACGAGCAGAATAAATTTCTCCAGGCTCACTCAATTACAATTTGAGAGTGATATAGTTTGGCTGCTTAGGGACTACTGAGAAATAACTAGCCACACAGCAATGAAACTGAGAACCTGATTCTTGTTGCCTGTCTTCTGAGAAAGCCAGTCTCTCCAATTCCATAAAAGAAAGTGATAAACTGTTCCAGGCTCTTTCAAATAGTTTTACATACATGCATACATACACATAACATGATATGGAAGCCAATCCTGATCACACTTTTATGGCTTGTTGTCACTGAGGATCTATTTTTTGGAGCAGGAGAAAGCTAACAGTACATTCCAAAATGAGAACCACCATTCAAGACATATTCTTGAGACACAAAAAATATACACACAACACACATAAACAATGACAATACTTTCTTCAGAGAAAGGATGCTCTCTACCCTAAAATGCAGAATACTTACAAACTGTATAGGGCATAATGTCAAGTGATCAAAATCTCAAGTTTATTTGCAGTGGTTAAGTTGATTTTCCAGGAAAAAAGGAAAAATAATCAAAACAAATTCATACTCCACTCTCATCCCCATAATATCACTATCCTATATTCATCAACCTTCATTTCCCTTTTGCCCCTGGGGGTATGGCCAAAAGGAAGGCAGTCTCAGGTTCCTTAACATGCTCTGATTCGTATAACTGGGACCTGAGACACTCAAACTCCAAAGAGACCTTGACCTGTGGTGCTTTTCAAAGAAAAGAACCTGTATGTTAGTTCCTATATGGAATTAACACAGTGTCCCAACACAGTGATGACAGAGGTGATAATAAATTCTTCATCTAATGTGCCACAGTGAATAATGTAAACCAGAACTATTTTAACAATTTATAAAAGAGTCTGAGACTTCTGTATCTCATTCTCATCACCAGATGTCTCTGAAATCCCAGTCACATTAGAGTTTGGTGTCTTAAAATGAAAATAAATTATACAAAAGTGTTAATTCTCATTGTCTCCAGCTAGAGAGATTATAGAAAATTTATTGTGATTATGAGTTAACACAGAAAAAAACTCAATAAGAGGTAGGGGTGTGGGTGTGTGTGTGGGGGTGTATCCTATCTCCTAACTCCTTAAATGTAAATATCTATGGGCAAGACTAATACCCATAAAAAAGAAAGGAACACATTCGATGAAAACAAAATCTTTAAAATTTTCCCATTGAGGGGCCAGCCCAGTGGCATAGTGGTTAAGTTCCGCATGCTCCGCTTCAGCAGCCTGGGTTTGCAGGTTTGGATCCCACATGCGGACCTACACCACTCATCATCCATGCTGTGGCAGCAACCCACACATAAAGTGGAGGAAGACTGGCAGCCGGCCCAGTGGCATAGTGGTTAAATTCACTTGCTCTGCTTTGGTGGCCCTGGGTTTGCAGGTTCGGATCCCAGGCACAGACCTAGCAGCACTAGTCAAGCCACACTGTGACAGCATCCCACAGAAAATAGAGGAAGACTGGCAACAGAGGTTAGCTCAGGGCCAATCTTCCTCTCACACACACACACAAAACAGTGGAGGAAGATTAGCACAGATGTTAGCTTAGGGCTGATCTTCCTCAGCAAAAAAAAGAGAGAGGCCCATTGAAGTAATATAAGGGTCAGATAGTGCTCTTGAACTGAGAAACAAATTCTTAGACAATCTAAACCAATTCCATTCCATGTTTAGAGACAACTACAGAGAGAAAAGATATGAATTTATTTAATCATTTTCTCTTCACAAGATACTGTGGGGTAGGCATAGGGAGATCTCAGCCTCAAAACTTAATCTTAAATTAAGCAAATCTGTGTTAGGTCCTGTCTCCTGCCACCACAAGAAAATGGGCCAAATTCAGGAGTGAGCATACACTGTAAATCTATCATTTTTGACATACTGTTTTGGGGATTAAAAGTGAGATAATTTCTCAATATTTATTTCTTTTAAAATTTTGAAAAATAAAATGGTCTGCCAAAAGCCCAATTTGTTTGTTAACAGATTTGATAAATAAGGATGGCAACTCTTACTAGGTTGAATAGCAAAAACTGTCAGAATAAAATACACGTAAGTCGCACGTATTTTAGTGACTTAACACTCAAAAATCTACCGAAACCACAGATGAGCATATTTATATTTAATGCTCTCTGATATCATTGCTTTCATACAGCTTTAACACACTACAAGCTCAACACATAAGAAATCTCCTTTTCTTTCTTCTTGTTCCCTCCCCATTTCCCTTCCCAACTTTTTTCAGAACTCCAAATTCCAGATTTCAAATTTCTTTCTTCGAGGTGAAAAACAAAACAAAAGCACATATTTATGGAAATGAGTTTGAGGCTTATCATGCTTTCCTTCTTAGAAGTTCAGCTCAATAAAACAAAAGAACTACAAATTGTAGGGTGAGAAAAATAAATGCTATCTTGCTCCATCAAACCACAGAAAGAATGTAACCCATAACCAAAGTGAAATGATGGAGTAAAAATAAGACAAATGAGAGAAGCTTGAATTAAGTAAATTTCCTCCTTCTCTTAGCCTTCCTAAATCCCTCCACTCAGTCCTTTTTTCAGGTAGACATCCTAGAACGTAGTGGGCTATCTTGAAAAACTACAAGATACACACAAAGCAGAGCAGAGCGTTGACAGTCTCCCACACAGGTAAGATAACCATAAGCAAAGCGAGTTGTGACAGGTAGTTAGGTAGTAGGTTTTGGGACATAGAAACATGTGGAATGATTTCCCCTCCTTCAGATCCAAATACCAAGGTATACCAAGGCCAAGAAATTTGGATGGAAGACTCTAAGTAAAAGATGCAAGTTAGTATAGAAAGTTTCATACGTTCCCTTATAAGCCTAGTTGATACATTTGCACTTTCCCCTATTCCTTAATTTCCTACTTATTTAACAATCAAAACCTTTTAGATGAGCACTTAACTTAAACTGACTAGTAGAACAAAGGAAATTCTTCTTCTCTTATGATCTAATTCAAAGACTATTGGTTGTCCTCATCAGTCCCTTACCAACAGAGAAATGCTGAGCAAGATTTTAATTTGAAACATCGCCAAGTTATCCAATAGGCAAAACAAAGACAGTAATATCCATCTCAACAGGGTCATTGTGGAAAATGAATAAGAAAATATACGTAAAACAGATTCTGTAGCATTCCTACATATAAGGGAGGTACCCACAAAATAGCAGCTGTCATTACTATACAAGTTTTAAAAACAAGTTCACCATCCAAAATTTTCTAGGGCTTTATGTAGATAAAGTAGTAAGCTTTTTTTTTATGTAGTAAGCTGTATGTCTTACTTTAAGTATCTGATGCAACCCCTCCCTGCCTCTCTCCACCACAAATGTACTATCTGTTTAATAATGTTTTTCATTAAAATTTCTTCTGGAAATATAAGCTATACAGATCATAACCACATACTCAACCCATGGGACGTTAGCTTTGTTAATGAGCAGTCTACTTAAAATTGAATTATTGTATAAAATCCTGGTAATAGGTTTTCAAATGACCAAGGCATGTGATCATGCATGCTTATTACACATTCATTTCTTTAACCACTTTTCTTAATTAAGTACAGAATCTTTCTCCATTTAATTTTTCTCACAGTTGAAAATTCTGATTACAGGATGCATATTCTGTTAAGTATTCTCAACTACAATATGAAAGCTTCAGTACTGATGGACACTCTGAGGGAGCTGTCACTGAATGAGAAATTATGCTCCTGCAACACACCTCCAACCCCTTAACTTTGTCCTGTCACCCTCATTATACGTGTAAACTGTCTGATAAAAGTAGAGAAATTTATGGGAACAAATACAGAATCAAAAAATATCATCAATTCTACTTTCATGGGAATTGAATATTAATTATATTTAGTTATGCTTTCACTACAGATATAGGGATTTAATTCATGAGAATATGAGTCTCCATATACTCCATCAGTATATTGCCATCAGTTTTTTAAAAAAATGTCTGCCACTGTCCATCTGCATGCCTTACCTCTACTTCACTCATTCATTCACTCACCTATTCACGATGATCTTGGCCCTCAAGAAACTTATAGTCTAGCTGGGGAGAAAGCAGGCAAAGCAGTGACTACTGAAGCCATGACAAAGCGCACTCTGAGAGCAGGAGGAGCGCCATGGTGATGTAACTCCCAACATTCACTTTTAACCAACAACTACAACACACCTCTTGAGGGAAGAGGGGAAGGAAGTAGTATACTCCTTCCAGCATTTAACATCTTAAGGTTTTTTGAGAAATTCATACATATTCAATCTATATTAAAAATATTTAATACTGTCCAGAGGTCCTGAGAAGAGCAATAAATGAGTATTTTTGAGAATGGAAGATTTCATGAGAAAAAAAATTTCTTGCATTCATTGGCTGGAAGTATGTTTGGTTTTAAATACTTAATATATATCTGTAGAAACTTCTGTTTGTGATTTATTTGCTTTGTTTATTCTTTTATATGTAAAATAGGTTCCCAAACCTAAATGTTCCATCATTACATGTTTGACCTGTGACTGTTATCCATTACTTGGCCAGGTTTTGAGTACATGGTGAACAGCTAAGGACAAGGCATCCTGCCA